TTTTAGCTTTAGTTAACAATAAAAACAATTGTTGGAATCACTCTGAGAATTAATTTTATTCCAGGTGATGAACGATAAAAACATTGACAGCCAATCAGAATCCACCTGACTGTAAAGAGCTTGAGCATTTAAAGTTGCAGACGACAATATATTAAATAAATTATATAATATAGCTTTAAATATAACGCTAACTGTACTGGCATCCAGACTAACAGACTATAATGTTTGTGCTTGCTGCAATTTTATCGTTCTTGATGTGAACGGACCTTTACATTGCAGAACTGCAATCCAAATTCAGACACTGTAAGAACTTCATCAATTTTATTTATTTAAGATTTATTGTAATGGCAAATAAATTCAGACAAAATCCCAAAATCTAGAAATGTCTAGAAGTCTAATTTGTGGCTAAAATTGTGCAGGGTTCAAGATTATATACATACTGGATTATAAAACAGAACAATACAAAAACAAGAAATAAGAAAATAAATAAATAAATAAATTTAAAAAATGGCAGTTTCTATTTAACTCACCATCTCCGAGGAAGAGAATGAGATTTTTAGCTTGGTGCATGTTGGGCTTCATGGAGAGGGATGCATGAAGAGCCTCTTTACCCTTAACATACCAAAAGTTTGGGTTCTGCTCCTCTTCTTCAAATTGATTCCAGAAAAGAAACATTGTTTCATTCTCTTTGTTCGGAGAGAAAAAGAATAATTGTGAACTATGTAATAGCACTTACCAGGAGTAACGGAGAAACATCCATCAAATCCTGCTAAAACAAATATTCCAATAATCAGAAGGGTCTGTTCTGTGGCCATGGTTTGCGTACTGTTAAAACGATTTGATGCCCTTCTGTTTATAGTCTTCTCTCAGACCAAAGGTCATTTGTAGTTCCCATTCCCTCTTTTGCAACATGAACTTTTGATCACATACTGATCATTCATGACCATATGATATGAATATATGATGATATGAATACTGATTTGAATGAATTACTGGACTGTTCTGTGGTTTTCTTTTTCTGACCTGTGCTTTAGTGAATTGCGCTTTTCTGCACTATACTGTTCTTTACTGAACTGTTCTGTACTGTTCTTTACTGCGATGTACAGTTAGTAACTGAACTTCTCTGTTTTGCACTGAACTGTTCTGGATGATTAAGAATGATTAAGTTCAGTACTATACTGATCTAAAATGTTCTGTGCGTACTCTGTTTTTTACTGAACTGTTCTATTCTGTTCTGTTCAGGAATCAACTTGTCTACACTGAATGGAATGAGTTCTGTGTTTTTGTTTTCCCCAAACAATTATTGTTCTGTTATTTTCTGAACTGCACTGCAGTGCACTATTCTGTTCTTCACTGAACTGTTCTATTCTGTTCTGAACTGTATATGAATTAACTGATCTGCACTGAACTAAATGATTAAACTCAACTGATTTAAACCGTTCTCTGCTTTTTTCTTTTGAACTGTTCTGTGCCGTACTGTTCTTTTCTGGATTGTTTTGTTCTGTGCTGAACTGCTCTTCACTGTTCTGTTCCTTACTGAATTGTTCTGAATGGTACTGTTCTTCAGTCAGTTGCACTGTTCTACGCTGAACTTCTCTGCACTATACTGTTCTTTACTGAACTGTTTAGTACTGTTCTATTCTTTACTGAACTGAACCGTTATATACAGTAATATGCCGTTCAAGACTGTTCTGGTCTAAATTGTTCTATGCTTTTTCCTGTTCTTTACTGAACTGTTCAATTCTGTTCTTTTCTGAACTGTTCTTTAGTGAACTGATCTGCACTGAACTGATTGAATAAAATGATTAAACTCAACTGATTTAAACCGTTCTCTGCTTTTTTCTTTTTAACTGTTCTGTGCCGTACTGTTCTTTTCTGGATTGTTTTGTTCTGTGCTGAACTGCACTTCACTGTTCTGTTCCTTACTGAATTGTTCTGAATGGTACTGTTCTTCAGTCAGTTGCACTGTTCTGCACTGAACTTCTCTGCACTATACTGTTCTTTACTGAACTGTTTAGTACTGTTCTATTCTTTACTGAACTGAACCATGCTTTTTCCTGTTCTTTACTGAACTGTTCAATTCTGTTCTTTTCTGAACTGTTCTTTAGTGAACTGATCTGCACTGAACTGACTGAATAAATTGAAACTGTTCTTTACAGAACTGTTCTATTCTGTTCTATTCTGAATTGTTTCGTTCTGTGCTGAACTGAACTGCACTCCACTGTTCTGTTCCTTACTGAATTGTTCTGAATGGTACTGTTCTTCAGTCAGTTGCACTGTTCTGCGCTGAACTTCTCTGCACTATACTGTTCTTTACTGAACTGTTTAGTACTGTTCTATTCTTTACTGAACTGAACCGTTATATACAGTAATATGCCGTTCAAGACTGTTCTGGTCTAAATTGTTCTATGCTTTTTCCTGTTCTTTACTGAAATGTTCAATTCTGTTCTTTTCTGAACTGTTCTTTAGTGAACTGATCTGCACTGAACTGACTGAATAAAATGAAACTGTTCTTTACAGAACTGTTCTATTCTGAATTGTTTCGTTCTGTGCTGAACTGCACTTCACTGTTCTGTTATTTACTGAATTTTACTGTTCCTTAGTGAACTGTGCTGTTCTTTACTACAATATACATTTCTTAAATGAACTATACCGCTTATCTGAATTTATTTATTAACTGTTCTGTACTGTCTAATTCCTTACTGAATTGTTCTGTTCTGCATTGAACTGTTCTCTTCTGTTGTGTTGTGAAATTCAGTGATCTGCACTAAACTGAATTATTAAAATGTACTCGTCTAACCTGCTCTGTGTGTTTCTGTTCTGGACTGTTCTTTACTAAATTGTTCTGTTCTTTGCTAAAATGAACAGTACTGCACTGCACTGCACTGTTCTGTTCAAAATGCATTTTTGATCCTACAATAAATCAGCGAATCAACAAGACCTTCTGTAAATCTAAGTAAATATAGCATGCAAAATATTGATTAATCTGCCTTGCTGATGGTCCATGTCTAAAAGCGCACAACAATATTTACATTTATGGATTTAGCAAATGCTTTTATACAATGTAAACTGCATTGCATTCAACGTTTATCAGTTCATGCATTCCCTGCATGCAAAATAGTCACTGGAACTGTATTTAAATCAAATGTAGTTTAGATTTATAGATATGTTTATCATGACCTAATGTTATACGGCTAGTGTTCTAACCCCTCATACAGTAATGGATATATAATTGCTTTCGATATCTGACGGCATTCATGCCAAAGGAGATTTAATCACAATGATGATAACATTGACAATATGAGTAATGTTTTTTTTTTATAGAAAGTTTATTGGTCTCACATGTTTGAAATTTATAGGCACAGTGCAAAAGAGTCTTCCATTGCGCATTATATACAAAAATATCTGGTTATAAAATACATCCATGAAAAAAACACTTTACATTTATATACACAGCATTGCAATTCTTACTGTTCTATTCTGAATTGTTTTGTTCTGTGCTGAACTGCACTTCACTGTTCTGTTCCTTACTGAATTGTTCTGAATGGTACTGTTCTTCAGTCAGTTGCACTGTTCTGCGCTGAACTTCTCTGCACTATACTGTTCTTTACTGAACTGTTTAGTACTGTTCTATTCTTTACTGAACTGAACCGTTATTTACAGTAATATGCAGTTCAAGACTGTTCTGGTCTAAATTGTTCTATGCTTTTTCCTGTTCTTTACTGAAATGTTCAATTCTGTTCTTTTCTGAACTGTTCTTTAGTGAACTGATCTGCACTGAACTGACTGAATAAAATGAAACTGTTCTTTACAGAACTGTTCTATTCTGTTCTATTCTGAATTGTTTCGTTCTGTGCTGAACTGCACTTCACTGTTCTGTTCCTTACTGAATTGTTCTGAATGGTACTGTTCTTCAGTCAGTTGCACTGTTCTGCGCTGAACTTCTCTGCACTATACTGTTCTTTACTGAACTGTTTAGTACTGTTCTATTCTTTACTGAACTGAACCGTTATTTACAGTAATATGCAGTTCAAGACTGTTCTGGTCTAAATTGTTCTATGCTTTTTCCTGTTCTTTACTGAACTGTTCAATTCTGTTCTTTTCTGAACTGTTCTTTAGTGAACTGATCTGCACTGAACTGACTGAATAAATTGAAACTGTTCTTTACAGAACTGTTCTATTCTGTTCTATTCTGAATTGTTTCGTTCTGTGCTGAACTGCACTTCACTGTTCTGTTATTTACTGAATTTTACTGTTCCTTAGTGAACTGTGTTGTTCTTTACTACAATATACATTTCTTGAACTATACTGCTCTTCTGAATTTAATTTATTAACTGTTCTGTACTGTCTAATTCCTTACTGAATTGTTCTGTTCTGCATTGAACTGTTCTATTCTGTTTTGTTGTGAAATTCAGTGATCTGCACTAAACTGAATTATTAAAATGTACTCGTCTAACCTGCTCTGTGTGTTTCTGTTCTGGACTGTTCTTTATTAAATTGTTCTGTTCTTTGCTAAAATGAACAGTACTGCACTGCACTGCACTGTTCTGTTCAAAATGCATTTTTGATCCTACAATAAATCAGCGAATCAACAAGACCTTCTGTAAATCTAAGTAAATATAGCATGCAAAATATTGATTAATCTGCCTTGCTGATGGTCCATGTCTAAAAGCGCACAACAATATTTACATTTACGGATTTGGCAAATGCTTTTATACAATGTAAACTGCATTGCATTCAACGTTTATCAGTTCATGCATTCCCTGCATGCAAAATAGTCACTGGAACTGTATTTAAATCAAATGTAGTTTAGATTTATAGATATGTTTATCATGACCTAATGTTATACGGCTAGTGTTCTAACCCCTCATACAGTAATGGATATATAATTGCTTTCGATATCTGACGGCATTCATGCCAAAGGAGATTTAATCACAATGATGATAACATTGACAATATGAGTAATGTTTTTTTTTTATAGAAAGTTTATTGGTCTCACATGTTTGAAATTTATAGGCACAGTGCAAAAGAGTCTTCCATTGCGCATTATATACAAAAATATCTGGTTATAAAATACATCCATGAAAAAAACACTTTACATTTATATACACAGCATTGCAATTCTGCAGAGCACCAAACTTCAATATAAACTATTTGGGTTATAGATTTCCAAAAAGCCCCAAAGAGTCCTGGAGCCTCAATCACTCATGCAGTATAGTCTGTCATCTCATGACAAGCCAAAACACGCCGGTTATTGAGACAAGAGGCCCTGAAAGAGTGATTTTACAGCCCCCTGAGCCTTGAAGACGCAGTGGGCAGTTAGTGTATGGCTCCAGACATGCTGCATAAGCCATCGCATGGGCCACATAATTCTGTTCTTTGACTCCGTGAAAGAGATGAGCCATCGGGCCTTTTGCGTAGATAGCCACATCTTCCCCTCCATGTGTCTCTGATTCTAAAGGAACAGCAGCTTGTTGCATGTACTCTTCACTAACTACAAATAGAATAAGGTATGATTTTAGTGTTTGACAGCAATAAAAGGGACAGGTAGTAAATTATGTCAATACTTACAATGCTCCACTGCTGAAACATTTCCTCTTGTTCCGTTCACATGAATGTATCCTGGTCCATTAGCATACAAGATACTTGTGTATGGAAGACTATCCTCAGCCTTCTTAGGTGCCAGACCTGAAAAAAAAAAAAATTATAATACTGAAACAATGGCTGTGCAATGCAATACCAGATATTCCATATAGAAAATTCACAAACTGTACAAAGTATACATACTGCACACTGCAAAATAAGTATTATGATAGCATGTTATTCAGAATGAAATTGCATGTTAATTGCAATTAAATAAAAATTTATTAATTTACATTTATGTTCATTAATAACTTATAAATAACTTGACTCACTTAATTAGGACTTAAGTACATCTTTATATGTAATTCATAATTATTCTATTGTATTGAAATATGGTTAAAGTGTACAGCCAAATGTACTGACAAGCATTTATGGTAAACTAAAATATACTTTAATGTAGTTTCTGTTGAAACTTGTATGTCATGTGTTTAAATATATTTGTAATTACACATTTGTAATAATGAAGTTACAATTTAGAACATTTAATATATACTAACTTTAAATGTAATATTGAATAGCGTAATACAGTTAAATCACAAAGTACATTAGTAGTTGCACTTTAGTATGTTAATCAACGTCAAAATATGTGTACTTGACAAAAGACTATTAAACATAAACATAATGATTTTAAAATACACTGTAGCTTTTTATTTGACATTAATACAAAGTGCACTTTATAAAAGTGTACTCAAGTGTGTTAAACAGAATCATGAAAGTGTACTCACTTTAAGTACACTTCAGTAGCTTTTATTTAATTAATATTATATTATCAGCACGTACAGTTTTTTATATACTTTTAAGATTTGAAGTACACTACAAGTGTGCATTCAGTACAATTAAACACTTTTTTGCAAGGGAAGCATTTAGTTTGTCACCTTAAAATGCATATTTATCATTCTTAACTTTTATTAGTCTGATTAAACGAGTCAAAGTAAAAATTGTAGCTGTTTACTTTTTAATTTATTTTCGGTGTCTTGTTCTAGATAATCAAAAGAGTATCTACAGTATCTCAGCAGTATCTACAGTACTTTTGCACAGTTTACATACTACAGACATAGTAAGAGTAGTCCAGTATATTAGTATGCCTTTCTTTGTAAAACAAAGTTCTGTCATGAAACTGCCCGGATCCGCTCTGCGACTGTAGTTCCCGCTCACTGAAACCGCGCCCGGGCTGGGTTCGTGTTACAGCACTGAAACGGATGTGACTGTAACGCTGATTTGGCGGTTTTAAAACAGATCTGGCGCGAAGTCAGCTGCTGTCTGGGTCTAGATGGCGCAGACCAATAGGTTCTAACTCAATATGATATAATGACATCATTATTAACATAAAGCAAGTGATTGGTTTCTTTTCGCATCAGCAGCCAATGAGCTTGCTGCTCAACATTCAAATACTGGGCTAGTGCTTGCTGTAGCAGTTGCAGCGCGCTTCAGAAACCCTCCACCTCCCCAGCTCCACCTGTGTAGATCTGCTACAGGGTGATTTCATGTGTGTTATATATGGGGTTATCTCATATATGTTATATGTGCAGCAGCAGTATTTCTTACATGCTCACAGCAGCATGTCTGTGGATGTATTGGCAGTAGTAAGTCTCAGTACTTGCTCTGCCACAGCAGCGTAGCAGATCTATTCCACCAAGACCAAACACATTAACATTGCCATGTACATTACCATGCTAAACTCTCCGAGAGTTGTCATGACAGAAATTACATTGTCATTATTTCAATTCCATGACATGAAGTAAACTAAGATGTACCAAAAATAGGGTTCCCTCGTGGTGTATTTCCACCAAAAGTGAAGACATGGGAATGATCTGCAGTGACAACAGAGAGAGTGTCCGATTCACTGGTCAGCTCAGACGCTCTCTGGATTGCCTGGTCAAACATGATGGTTTCAGTCAGAGCAAGCTTGGCAACCCCATCATGGTGTCCATGGTCTATTCTACCTCGTAAAGCACAAACAGACACATGATTCACTACTAGCAGAGTATCTTGACAAAAGTGTAACACCAGAGTAAATGGTAAATACTTATCTTCCACAAAGAGAAAAAACCCTTTAGGATTCTTGCTGAGGATTTGAATGGCTTTCTCTGTCATGTCCACAATAGAGGGGTCACGGGTGCGATTCCTGAACACTTCAAACCTCATGTCTTTGGGTTCAAACAGTCCTGAATGAGAAATATGAATGAGAATGTCATATTGGCAGACAAGTACTGTAAGTCAGTCAGATAGAATCCTTGTAAACTGGCATTACCCATCAGGCAGTCTGTCGTTTTAACATTCACTGCATTAAGCTGCTCTTTGTTCCAGACATATTGGGCGTTCCTTCCCTAATAAACAAAGCAGATAATGATGTAAGATTGTGGTTTAGAATCACAATTTGTGCTGTGATAAATGGATTGATTTGAGTTACCTTACGAGCACTTAGCCAGACGTCAATGAGGTTCTTTTTGTCTTTGCGATCCCCTTTGCGAGAGGATGAAGAGGGGTATTCTGGATCAGGGGTACCCTTGGGTGTCATGTACATGCGGCCACCGCCAAGAATTACCTACGATGGAGACACATATTCAAAATTCAAAAATGTTAACATTTTTAGGTTCCTTGGCATTAATTTCGATTGCTTCAGTTATGCGTTTGGTATTTAAATGACACCATGGACAGTTTTCACATTTCCAGGGTTCTCAGACGTGGAAGTTGTCATGGTTGTGTAAACTTCTATAGTGGTGAATGGAAACGTCAATAAGAATTCAAAAGAATTCAAAAATAACATGAGACTGATTACGTGTCAAGTTTCCCATTACCCCCTCAGCTGTTGCATTAGAAACATCTACAAGTTTACATGGAAAAAGGTTTAAAAACAGAAAACTTTTTATGCATTTTGGCCTTTTGTTTACATGTCAAAAGCATTTTGGGGGTCCTGAAAATACTACATTTTGAAAACTGGTTTTAAAGTACACGTTTTTAAAAATGATAGCGTTATCTCTGTCTTCAGTGTAGTTTTTTACTATTATTCATTTCTTTTTTATACAAAGTGACATCGCCAACTACTGGCCTGGCATGAATAAAACAGTGTTTTTAGTCATTTTCAAACATCCATGTAAACAGGGTGTATTTCAGTTTGACTGTACGCAAAACTACGCAAACGGAATTCTTTGCAGTTTTTAGTACATTGTTGATGTATAAACGTGCCCTCAATGCCATGGTAATAAAACACAAAGCATAGTGTTGTAAATTTACATTACATTTTTAAAAATTGAAAATGTAAAAAAAAAAAAGTCCAGATTTACGATGTTAATAACTGTGTAAACGCATCCTCACAGTCTGTGAAAGGGGTCCATTGTGCATTTAAATTAAGTACATTTTTGGAAAAGCTACTTTGAACATTTAGCTTGCCAAGCGAATCATAAATGGAAGTACTTAATGACAATCAAGCTACTGTTTTGTAGTTGACCATGCTACAGGCTAAAAACAATAACTACAGTGAAATTAGTCTAGAACAGGGCAGTATGTTTTTATAAATCTCAATTGGGCTTGACAGTATCAAACTTGAACAGGTAAATGTGCACTAAATACAACAGAAACACCATAATTTACATATAAATATATAATATAGCATATAAAAAATTTGTTCAAATAGTAGCACACTATCAGAAAAAAAGGTACGGAACTGTGACTGGGGCAGTACAATTTTAAAAGGTACTACTATGTACTTTTGTAACTTTAAGGTACCATTTAGCGCTAAATAAGGTACAAAAAATAAAAAAAAAAAAGTCCAGATTTACGATGTTAATAACTGTGTAAACGCATCCTCACAGTCTGTGAAAGGGGCCCATTGTGCATTTAAATTAAGTACATTTTTGGAAAAGCTACTTTGAACATTTAGCTTGCCAAGCGAATCATAAATGGAAGTACTTAATGACAATCAAGCTACTGTTTTGTAGTTGACCATGCTACAGGCTAAATACAATAACTACAGTGAAATTAGTCTAGAACAGGGCAGTATGTTTTTATAAATCTCAGTTGGGCTGACAGTATCAAACTTGAACAGGTAAATGTGCACTAAATACAACAGAAACACCATAATTTACATATAAATATATAATATAGCATATAAAAAATTTGTTCAAATAGTAGCACACTATCAGAAAAAAAGGTACGGAACTGTGACTGGGGCAGTACACTTTTAAAAGGTACTACTATGTACTTTTGTAACTTTAAGGTACCATTTAGCGCTAAATAAGGTACAAAAAATGTACAGTTCAGCTTTTCTACCTTTTGGTAGCGCTCTGGTGATTTTTCTGAGAGTGTAAAGGGACTCGACGTGAACCATCCAAACAAATCGATTCACTAGAATCGAATTTTAAATTTGCACTCAACAGTATTTATTAAGCTGCAGCTGTGCAGCATTGGCGGAGCTAGAGTTTTATACACGGGTGGCCAAGGCTAATTCAGGTGGTCCATAGACCATGACAGAAAATCAGCGTATAACTCCACCCTGGCATAAAAAAGCATGAATAAATCCTGCGATTGCCACAGTTGATGGTAGCCATTGATTTCCATAGTATGGAAGGAAAAAAAGATACCATGGATGCCATGTCAATTGTTTGGTTACACACATCCTTCAAAACATCTTCTTTTGTGCTCAACAGAAGAAAGAAACTCATAGAGGTTTGGAACAACATAAGGGTGAATAAATTATGACAGCATCTTTATTTTTGGGTGAACTGTCCCTTTAAAAACATTGGTTGCATGTCTGTAAGTGTGATAATGAGTCTAAATGGATAATACCTTGTGCTTTGGCGCGGTGTAACACTGAGAAAACCTCATTGCCAAATGTGGTGTTGCACTCATAGGCCACTGCTTTAGCGCTCAACCCCACTGTCTTGGCATTAGCCTTCACACCGCAGTGGTACGCCGTAGCTGTGCTAGCACTGTCTGCCACCTGCTTGTCAACACTGTACGTCTGTTTGGAAACACATCGACTAAGTATATCAAATACTGATAGTTTTGCTGTTGAAAACATAGCATTTTAGTCATATAATAAGTATTAATAACAATTAATAATAATAAACAATTTCCTTACACCCTATTCTGATCCGTATTCATATAGTGATTATAGGCATGTCATGCATAGATTTAGATCATCTGTAATCAGCATTCCTTCATCCTCATGTGTTCTCCAGGATCAGAGGTTGCAGTGCTATCTAAACTTATTAGGAATGCATAACCTGCAGTAAGCTGATAACTTCTCATATCTTAAAGGGTTAAGTAAACCCAATAATGAAAATTCTGTATTCTTCGTAACTTTACAGTTGAACCACTGATGTCACACGGACTACTTTGTCGATCATCTTGGTACTTTTCTGGACCTTGAGCGTGGTAGTTACCTTGCTGTCTATGGGAGGATCAGAGAGCCCTCAGATTTCATCAAAAATATCTTAATTTGTGTTCTGAAGATGAACGAAGGTCTTACGGTTTGGAACAACACGAGGGCGAGTAATTAATGACAGGATTTTCATTTTTGGGTGAACTAACCCTTTAAACGGTGCCTGTGCTGCTATCTAAACAATATGGAGGCCCATTTCTGTCACATAAGAATAAAACATGCTTCAAAAAACAAATTAGGAGATACTAAATTGTAATTATGACATGAAAAGTAGAAATTATGATAAAAAATAAAATTATACTTAAAAAGTCAAATTATGACAAAAAGTCAAAAGTATGAGAGTCATGATTATGACATAAAAATTCTAAATTATGTCATAAGATCAACTGACATAAAAACTAATAAATACACCAAAAAATTATTATTTTATTTTGAGGACTTTTTATCGCATAATCCATCCATCCATCCATAGATAGCACTGATCACCCTGATGCAGAAACATTGCTTCAACCAATAAATATATTATACCAAAAATATAATCCTAAATATTTTATTAGAATACAATTATACATTATATTTTACTATAATAATAATAATAATATAAACTATATTTAGACATAAAAAATATATTAAGAATAAATAAATACTTTTAAGAACCACTTTTTTTCTTCTTTCTTTCTTTTTTTTACTTTAAGCTTTAAGTAGGCGGTCAGACCCCCATAATTCTATTCATTGATTCTGTATTAAAATGATATTTTTCAAACAGTATACAGACACTGATGTGTAGTGGGAAAGTAAATATGTTTTCATGTTGACTTGAAAGCAGTTGATCTGCTTTTCAGGCTTTTACACCCAGTTCAGTAAGAATCTCTGTATGGAAAATTAACCCTCTGGGGTCCGAGGGTGTTTTGGGGCCCTGGAGAAGTTTTGACATGCCCTGACATTTGTGCTTTTTTCAGTTGCTAATAAACATTTTAATGGCTAAGTTTAGTAGCACCATAATCAGCACAAACTGATGTTTAATGATGACTAATCTAATCTCAAGCAGCAGTTTTTCCATGCAACACACATGCTCATTCCATTGCCACTGGCAACCCAAACCTGCCTTTATATAATTGCACAACAAGATTGCTATGAATTGTCTGTGAGTGATTAAAGAGGGTGGGAAATGAGGAGCGTCAGACCTTTGACAGGGCGACATATGGAAATGTATCCATGGCCAAAAGAGTCTCCTCCCCTGACTGTCCTTCCATCTGACCTCGCAGTATACGGGCGGCTGACACCGTAGACACTCCCATCCCTGACAGATCGACAGAGAAATATCACAGCCTGATCCTGAACCCAAACCACTCGTGAACTCTACCGTAAAATATGGGGTATGAAGTAACATGCACGTGCGTAAGGGGTAATATACAGCCAGCCAATCGTTATCACAAAATAAACCCAACAGGTGGACCAGGAATATCGAACGGCATAATTTTCCACTTATATAAAAATCTACATAATAAATAGTGAGGTTTTATTACTGCACATGAGATGAATGAGAGCATGAAGTGATGCAAAGAAGCAGAGTTTCGCGGTGTAAAACTTTTTTATGTAAATGTTTGTCAGTACATTCAGCAGTAACTTTAACTTTATTTATTTCAAAGATAATAGAAGTAATTATGAAATTACACGTAAAGATCTAAGTGGGTCAAAAGCACTCTACAGTTCAGCTAATTGCATTTAATGGATAGCTGGCCAATCACAGCACACCTCGCTTTTTCTGACCGATGAGCTTTGTAAAAATCGACGTGTTTCAGAAAGGCGGGGCATAGAGGAGAAACAATAATGTACAGTATGTGGAAAATAATGTGTTTTTTGAACCTTAAACCGCATAAACACATTTCATTACACCAAATACACAAAATAATGTTCTTTTTAGCAACATCATATGACCCCTTTAAACTACAATACATTTTCATTTAATTTCATTTAAAGTGTTAGAAAACATTACATTCAGTTCATACTTAAATATGTTCTTTGACAGTTTATTATTTCTGTAATAATTACAGAAACGTATTCATAAAGGAAGAGAAAATAGTATTTATGAATGCTTATATTTACATGTATACATTTCTATACAGCTATGGAAAAAAAAAATTATAAGACCACTTGAAAAGTTTCAGTTTCTCTGGATTTACTATGTATGGGTTTGAGTAAAATGTTAAAATGTTAATATAATATTTTTAACATATATAAAGGTCTGATAAAATTTCTTCCACATTTCAAATAAAAATATTGTCATTTAGAGTTTTTTTTTTTTCTTCAGAAAATGACATTTGGTCAAAATAACAAATGTTTTTATTTGTTGTGATTGAAAATCAGGGTTACTCCAAGGTTATATGTCTGAAAACAGGCATATAACAATAACAAATTCTGTAAGAAAAATGCTCTAAATTACAACATTTTTATTTAAAATTTGGAAGAAATGTCATCAGTAGTTTACAGAATAAAACAAAAACTATGTTTTACTCAAACATATAAATCGTAAACCCAGAGAATTTTCAAGTGATCTCTTAATTTTTTCCATAGCTGTATTTTATATTTATGTGTAATATAGTATAATATAATATATTGAGTGCTTAGTGTGTTTGAAACCTCAAAAAACCCTTTACCACTTACTTAGAAATGGCACATTGCACTAAAGCAGTGTAGTTTGATAGACTGAGCAGCAGAGTTCGGTTGGGTTCGTAACTCACCGTCGCCGAGGAAGAGGAGGATGTTTTTGGCGCGATGCGCTCGCAGTGGCAGCGTGAGGGCAGCCTGCAGCATCCGCCTGGCCTGATCGTTCCAGTACGCAGGTTCTCTCTCCCATTCAGCTACCAAAACAAATACCACGCTATAAACAACCTGTCCTTCTCAGAAACAGCGACAACTCTTCTGAAGAGGCTCCGCCGCAAACCTGCCCTGACAAGACCTGAGAGCCCCACGCTAACGGGAACGCAGACTTTCTACAAAGCAGTGTAAATCTACACTACAACCCACACACCTACTTGCAAAACACCCATCAGCCCGGCAGCGGACGTTACCTGAGCTAATTTTAGAGACGCGGACAATAGGAGTGCTGTGTCCTTACCCGTGGGCTCTAGACTGCAGCTGGTGCGCAGGAGGAGGTGGGCCAAGAGGAGCAGCACGCCGGGGGCCCGGCTGTAAACCAAACACATCCCGAGCCGCAGAGAAAAGGAGCAAATTCAGCACACCTCGACGCTGGGAAGGAGTGTCTCCTCAAACCTCCAGCCCCTGCTTTTTAAACCCGGGGTGTGTTGCGAACCGGGGCCCGACAGCTCATAGGCTCGTGCTGACGGTGGGGGACCACACAGGGCCAGGAAACCCCTTGACTACTTTTCCAAATCTGGCGTTTTTGTTTTAGCCGACCGTTCTTCCTTGTTTCTTTTCTTCCTTTCTGTTCCCCGCTCTCCTGAGATCTGCTCTTGGAAGCCGAACCTTTGATGTGGCAAATTGAGCTAATGCGTGTTTTCCATACAATGGTTAATCGGCTGGAGAAAAAGCAGCGTTCAAAACATATTGCCTTTTTTTTGTTCCTGTTATGACTTGGAAAATCAATCCAGCATGTGTGAAACGTCAAGCTCTCCAGTTCTTGCAAGGTTTCGTACTTCTATGGAGGATACAAATGACCCTGAAATGTCAAAAATCGTGCTTTTCTCTTGTGAAAAAGAGCACTGAATTGTATTCAATGTGCACTTGTAGTGTACATCATATCTTACATAAAAGTATATATTTTTATGTTTTAATATGTAATATGAATGAAAACAAAGGGCCACTTAAGCGTACTTAAGTGACTGTTTTGCTTAACACACTTAAGTATGCTTTTAAAAAGTGCACTTTGTAATAATGTCAAAATAAAAGTTTGACTTTAAAGTTCATTTTAAATCATTAGGTTTTAATCTTTTGGCATGCTTTAAAGTACACTCATGTTGATGTATCGACTTAACTGTAGTATCTTATTTGAAATGACTAAAATGCAACATCATTAAAAACATAATAAACATGTTTATTTACATTAAAGTATATTTGATTTTTTTTTTACATTCTCCATAAATTAAAACTAATTAGAAAAACAGAAAGGAACAATTGAAATCGCATCATATGACCCCTTTAATATAAATTTTAACTATAATACATTTTAATTTAATTGCAATTAGCATGCAGTTAAGTATCTGAAAACATTATTCAGCTCAAAGTGTAGCTTTTTCAAGTAAATTATTTCCAAAATTTTTATTTTATTTTTTTAAGTGTGCAAAAGTGTTCTTCTTTTTCACAAGGGTATAAAAGAGATAGTCACTCTAAATTCTGACTGAAGAAGTATTTTACATTATTTGCATATGAAACAAGGAGACATGAAGTGAAATTACAGAGCTCAGTGTGTCCCAAACAAGTCAAGGCAAGGAGGAACTTGTTATTAAAGGATGTGGAGGCAAGCAGTGTTTAGTCATTTGCGGTTCCCTGGCAACGTCCCATACAGAGATTTTTATAGAATTCTAGTGATTTCCAATTCTAGAATTCTAGTGTGGTCACAGATGTGTGTATATCAGCTATTTTACAACAACAGTTTCAAATGTGGCAGAATGATCCATTGATAGTAATTTTTACTATGTATTTGTTTGTTTTTTATTTATTTTTTATTTGCTACTTTTAGATTGTAGCCATAAAAATTAAATTTTAAATTGGAAAAATAGATATACATACACTTTATATATTGGGATATACAGTGCTATTATTGTTTGTTTCTTAATTAGCATTGTTCTCTTGCATTGTAAAACAAAAATTGTTAAAAGCGCTATATAAATAAAGGTGACTTGACTTGACTTGACTTGTAAAAAAAAAAAATACTAAAAATAGAAGCAAACTTACATAAATTATTATTATTATATTAATTTTACTTGTTTTTTACTTATTTACTTTTGTATCTCTGTTTTTAACATTCAATTTTGGATAAACAGCGCTATTATTATTTATCTTATTTTAGTTGTTTTTTATTTCATTTTAGATATACACTACTATCATTAATTATTTTCATTTTATTTGGGTTTTTATTTCATTTTAGATACACAGCACTATTCTTTTTAAATTAATTTCATGTATACAGGACTATGCTTTAAAAAAATTAGATATACAGCACAATTTTTTTCATCAGTATTTTTCACTTGCTTTACACTAAAAATAACAAACATATTGTTTGTTAATACTTATTTTACTAGTTTGGGGATATATAGTTAGACAGACAGATTCCTTTCTTTCTTGCTTGCTTGCTAATTTTAGAATGCAGCCATAAAATTCTATATACACATATAAAATATATACATATTTTTTTTTCTTAATCAGTAAATCAATATTGTTCTCCTTTTCCACCAAAAGTAGGAGCAAAATCATATCAACTGTTCATACTTTTTTATTGTCTTAACTTTACTTCTAGGGTACTTTTATCTTGTTTTAAGGATATTTAGAAAATTTTACTGGAAATCAAGACAAAAAATTTTGTTGCAAAAATTATTTTTGTGCAGTCTAGGAGTTTGGTCATACTCCCCACCCATAATTATTATTATTCTTAAATGTAACCATTTATAGAACAATGCTGTCTTTTATTTTACTGCGGTCACCATTGTTTTATGAAAGCAATAAGCCAGTTTAAGTCCATGCGTTACAGTGATATTACCACAGTAATTGACGGTTTGCTGACTAACTCGGCACCTTTGGATTGTTTGGTGGGAAATAAACGTAAGCAGCATTTTTCTTGAATGAGGTAGTGGAAAATTAATGTTGTAAAAATAGAGAGAGAGAGAGACAGAGAAAGAGAGAGGAGAGGAAAAAACTCAAGATAACAGTATGAGAGAGTCCAGGAAGGCTCAGTGCTCGCATGCAGTTAATGAGGCTTAAAGAGCGTCTCATCTATATCGCATGAAAACAGCACTGTGGACGCCACACTCATTTGTGGCAAATCAAGCAGCTAATAAAAGCGGAAATATGAAGCGTTCCTCACATGATGTGACCGCTCTGCACGTACCAAAATATGAGCAGGGAAACTCAATCCTCGGCTAGCTGAGACACGTCAGGCCATTGTTATGGTAGGCACCGCTTTCAAGGGCTGAACTTGAGATTAAGCTAATAATGAGTTGCGGTAAGACTTAAACCAGCTCAAGCTCTATTTGAGCTCTATTTTCCATTCTCCTTCTGAGATTTTCCCATAGCCTTTACTATGGAAGCGATATTATCCAAACTGAGACTACAGCTGTTTTGGATACAAAAACTGTAGTAAATGCAGTGTTTTGGAAGTAAAAATCTCATTCATTGTTACATACAGTATAACTGTTACATTTCAACTTTTATAAACAATTTGAGCCTGCTAAGTAATGACATGATGCTTCCCGCCCCCCCCCAGCTAATTTACTGAAGTTGTTCCTCAGTTTCACACATGGCCCTAAAAGATGTCCGATCCATTCAGTCATCTTCTCAAAAATAACAATACGAGACAAGAGCACAAATCCATATGTATAATCATATGAACTGGAGCCATACATGACATCATGACATTTATGTCAATCGGAATCTCAGAATAGCAATAGAAGTAGGTTTCCAGTAAACAAGAAACTCTTTACATCTGGTAGAGCACTTCATGAGGGAAAATGAGCAGAACGCAGTTAAAGTAATACCATCAAACTCCATAGACCAATGCATGGAGTTTCCAGAGCCTAAATGACTAGATATGACTATTACTTTGAATAATTATTATGGTGTTCAGTTTTATTGTGACAACTGCACTCTTAAGAATAAAGGTCCTTTATTGGCATCTATGGTTCCATGAAGAAACTTGAACATCCATGGGATCTTTTTGATGCACAAAAGGTTCTTAATACTGGAAAAAGATTCTTTAGATTTTTAAAATGTTTCAATTAAGAACTGTCTACTGAAAGGTTTTTTGGGGAACCACAGATGGTTCTTCTATAGCATCGCTGTGAAAACACCCTTTTAGAACCTTTATTTTTAAGAGTGAAAGATGTTTTTTTGCAATGAAAAATTTAATATGTGTTATTTACACTACTGTAGGGTTGCACATAGCGTTACATATTATTTAAAGGGATAGTTCACCCAAAAATGAAAATTCTGTCATTATTTATTCACTCGTGTTGTTACACACCTGTATGAGTGTCTTGCTTCTGTTGAACACAAAAGAAGATATTTTGAAGAATGCTGGCAACCAAACAGTTGACAGTATTCACTGACTTCCATAGTATTTTTTTCCATACTATGGAAGTCAATGGCTACTGTCAAATATTTAGTTGCCAGCATTCTTTTGGGTGAACTATCCCTTTAAGACACATGTCTGATTGGTGGCTGGTGGATGTGTATCTAAACCAGACTAATTAAACAGCTTTTCTGAGGCACAAACCCCAGTGACCTAGTCATTTCTGAAAATATGTTCATGCATAATGTCATACTTTCAATACATAAAGAAAAGAGATTCAGCTGAAAAGGTAGAAACACAGAGACGGGTTAGCATTAGCATAACGCAGCAGTTTTATTTCCCAGTAACACTCACATTGCCCGTTGTGACCCATCCTCTACAAAACACCAAACAATAGCTGGCGGACATTCTAACCTCTAAAGAGCACCAGAGCAATAAATGACTGACGTAAACTAGTTTTGCTAGCCGTTTAAGCATTCCTTTTCATGCAAAGAAAAAAAGCCCTTACTGCATTTAAAATCCTGAATGTCCGAACTTATTAATGCAAAGCATCTCTCCTTTGCTTCAGACTGATGCAACATCTGTGTTTAGTTTTGAAAGCTAAGCAATCTTTGGAGATTGGAACAGTCTTGTCCATAATACTTAAAAAGATTTGAGAGTGTCTTATTTTTATTCTTGGATGTCATTTAATGGTTTATGATCTGGTTTACTTTGACAATATTTCCAGGTTTGAATCCAGATTGTAGTGATCGTTTTGGAAAGCACTTACCGAAGACTGTTCCAGATAAAGGCAACAAGAAAATGCAGTTGGGACAATAACACCATTGAGTCCACCATTAAGCAAAGGAAAAATCTTTCAATAAATACAATTTTCTTTTGTACGGGTTATTTCAATGTACGTTTAAATTTAGTGACTCTAAAAATGTCATGTTGTAACAATGTGGTTGTGAAACACACATGATG